ACACCTTAGATAAATAAAAAATACACTATATAAATGATTTTATTGAACACATCCAATTTTCAAGATAGCACACTTCATCTCAAAACTCTACTAGTTAATTAAATAACAATCAATAATCTTCAAAAATCAATTCTTTTACGAGCTTTAGTTCCCTGAAAAACAATTTGAATAAGGCTAGTGCAACCCCGTAGGCTTAAACCACATTTAAAAAGACAATGACACACTTCTACTTCATAAAAATAACTTGCAACAACTCTCTCACAACTTACTAATTTCTGGAAACAATTATTTTCTCAATGAACCAGGATATGACACGCACAAGGACAATCACTTTATACAAAATAAATTTAAATATCAACCCAACAACTCTGTCACAACTAACTAATTTCTAGAAACAATTATTTTCTCATTGCACTGGATATGACAAGCACACGAGGACAACCACTTTATACAAAATAATGTCGAATATCAACCGTCTCTAACCTTTCTTCCCAGCATCCCATGTAAAGACTGGTACTCAGTAACAATATTGCAGTCCGACAATTGAAATGTACTATACTAAGACTGGTAACAATATGTCATGAACTGTCCAACCATCGGATTGCCCAAAATGGAAATATGTGAGTTGCTAAAATAGAAGACAAACGCATACTAAGCGAAGAAGGTCGAAAAGTAGAGGGAAAAGCACCAAGACTACCTCAACAAATCAATGTTGCCATGACCATATATCAAGTCAAATCCACATTAGCTGACTTTCAAAAATAAAATTAAAATAAAATTAACGAAAAAAATTCTTCTATGAGCATATGGTAACAAAATTGGTAATAGATTTGATGACATTTCCAAAAAATTTACCATTCATGCATTCAAGCAAGAGGGAGTGAACGGATAGAAGAGCTATTGGCGTTTGGTTGACGGAAGCAAGCAATCATATACCCGTTCCATGCGTGATGTAATAGTGAGCTTATACATAATTTGAAGGCCTGGCTTCCCCAAATCCCTAATATCTTATCCCCAGCAGTCAAAAATAAATTACATGCCAGTACATATCCTTTTAGTAAAGATTGTTAGAAGGAGACAACTGCACATTAACAAATACTTGACTTTAACAACCTAAAGAAATAAATAGAGAGGTCACAAATAATTATTTAAAACTACTTGAGCATTAGCTAGCCCCTGTCTTTGTATTTTCTATCCAATCATTCTTTTTTTTAATCAATTATTATTACTATTATGATAAGGGAATGCATGAAAAAATAAATAAATAAATAATAATAATAAAATAAAAATAAAAAATCAGGCAGGTCATTCTCATTTAGATGGATGATCGATATCAAGATAATGTTGCACATCAGTTGGATAAAAGGCTTGACAAAGATTTGAAACAATATATATATGCCCAAAAACCATTTTCTAAAGAAAAAAATGCAAGGACACAAAGTGCACACCATCACATGCAAGCATGCATACACGTGCACACATAAAGAAAATTGTATATTTTCCTCATTATTTTTAGTGTAAATCATCATCGTCTACTTAAAATTGGATCAATTTTGTTAATCTATAAAAACAGGGATTTTTATTTTTAAACAGGGCTTGCTTGGTTTGTAAACAGGGCTTGCTTGACTGTTTTCTCATTACTATAAAAATTGAGTTACCTACTCTCATTTCATTTTTCAGTTATATGTTGGTGGCCTAGTTTTCTTCATCATTACTGTAAGTGAATAGTAAATTATAAATTCCATTATCTTCAGGCTTGGGTGTAGTAGCAGTTCAAATATTTTCATTCATTAGAAGATACTTAATTGTGCTAATAGACTTATCATTGATTTTAGAATCATTATAATTACGAAGTCCTAGCCTAACCACAATAGGAAACAAACAGCAACTTAGTAATATTTTGTATGTTGGCATTTCACGATCAGTTTAGAAAATTTCTTTGGGGCCATTGAAGCTCCTAACATATAATGCGACACAACTCCAACTCTAACTCTGATGTTTAATGGGCTCAAAATGAACTTGCTTATGATTATCTGTATACTTGTTCTTCTTTATATACAGGGTAACAGTGTGGCCTCCGTTAATCGAGGGTGTTGGGAGATACAGACTGTAGATTGTGAGTTGTACGCAGCGGAAATAACTTACAAATTTAAATTTATAATGATTAAGATCTATAAATAATATCTATATCCATTTGAAGAAATAGTAGGTGCTCTTAAATTAAGAATAATTTGTGGGTGGTTTGCATCATATTTAATTTTGAAAGTTCAATTTGAAGTTTGAACAATGCTTAATTGCTATCACTTCCTAAAAAATTGTAAAAGAAAAGGAAAATAATAATGTTTACTAACTTTTTAGATAATGCTATTTATTCGTTCTGAACTCTGTATCCGCTGTTATTTTGATTATCATAATGAAATCCTTACAACCCTTGGACGTAACTCTGATTTTTTGGTGAACTAACTAAAATCTGTAAGTATTTGTTGTGTGTATTTGATCTTTATATTGTATTTTTTTATTTAATTTCGCAACAGGTAGTGAAATTGAAAAAAAATCTAGTTGTAAAATCGTAAATTTTCATGTCCAAACAGATAGATTCTTTAAACTAAAATTGTCTAAATAATTTGTCCAAGTTATATTAAATTTTATTCTAAGTTGAATTGCTCCAATACTAACATATGGTAATTTTTCAAGATTCAATGGCTTACTCAATTTATCTTTTACCATACATAATGTGTGACATCAAGTCTCATGTATAAGCAAATGTGAATTACAAGTGCAGTACCTACTTCTTTATCATATATTTATATCAAAACCTAGTTTTTAAAATAGTGTAGTAAACCCAAATCATAAATAGGGTAGTGATGAACTATCCTAATAATGAAACAAAATAATGGGAAATTGGCACAATACCAAACTTCCAAACATGTCCCTAGTAGGTCTCGCCCATTGGCCCACAAGGGCTTGTTTTTTACTCTGTTTTATATACCCCTGCTTTGCACATCCACTGTTTTTGGCAGTTCTAAATTTGTCCATGAACAAAAAGCTTTGGTGGTTCTCGTGGTTGGCAAGCAAGTTGAACACGTTGTTGGTGGGTTTGGGTCAGTCCAGTGCTCCAGGCACCTTTTAAGCTTTAGGATGTTGTTACGACTGTAATCGTGACCTAACTTAGTGTTAGGACTGTCTAGGGTGTGTTGTTTGATCAGTTTTTGTGGTTCCTTGTTATAAAAAAGTGTATCTGATGTTTGATGTAGTGTTGTTTGGTAGTTTTCTTTGCCCGGATAAAAAACAATAATATTAATAATAATAAAAATAAAAAATAAAATAAAATAAAATAAAGATTTGTCCTTGAACCATGGCATTATTAGCATTATGTGTAGGTAAATTTTCAAGGCACGTAGAAAAAACCTTTAATAGAGAATTCCCAATCTTCAAAGTGTGAAGTTATGTGAGGTGACAACCTTTGTCGCGATTCGACCACAACTTTGAGACTTTGACGTTGCAAAATTCAGTTTGAAACCTTCAGTTTCTAATGCATGTATTTCCATAAGAGAATCAAAGTAAGCAAAAATATAACATTACTTATCCATAATGCTAATAATGGAATGTATATTACCGTCACGTACCCTCAACAAATGGCGAGCGTTTATTTATTTATTTTTTGGGCAAGTAAAAGTCCAGCTTTTAATGTTGATTAAGTCAGTACCACATATATATATATATATATATATATATATATATATATATATGCGTGTGTGAAGTGATGCTAGGGATGTGACAAGAATAAAAGGAATATAATTAAACAACTTGGCTTGGATAATGGATCTTAGTCTACTATTTCTTCATTTTTTTTTTTTGTCATTTATTTATTTTATTTTATTTGTTTTGTTCAGACCTCCTCTGCATTAAGCGTAGACTTCCGGCCAACAGCCAACTCTTAATTAGTTAAAGAAAGACTTCATTCTTTGACGGTCGATGGAAGAAAAGAACAGAAAAAAAAAATACTAATAATAATGTAACTGAATCGGATCTTAATCGATATAACATAATGAAATTAATTACAGTAGTCGTTAACCTTTTTCCATGTTCGCACGTATATTCAAAAATGTATTAAATATAAATTTATAGTGAAATTTATTGATTTTTTTTAGGAGGGTTATATTCGCAATCCAATATTTTTCAATTGCACTTCATTTACCTTTTTTCTTTTAAAAGAAATGACAAGAAAGCCTTTGAATTCATTAATGCACCATACCTTAATTTATTATGTCATAACTACCATTTATACAAACCTTTTTTTTTTTTACCTTCTTTACTATTTTTTTTTTCTCTTTCTTTTTGCTGTTTTGGGAGGCCCTCTCAAATAAAATAATTTAGGGAAAATTAAAAATTGGTAACCAAAACGTAAACAAAATTGTTAAAAAATAACCTTAAAGTCAAGAAAAGATGTATAGTGCCCAATTTTAAAACTTAATTATTAATAAGTGACCATTTGAGGGCAACTTAGTAAAAAATTACTTATTTGTTTATAAAATATTTTTGAAATAAGTTTTAGATGATAAAATTGTAGATTCATTCTCATCTCTCTTTCTTGTTCTATTTTTTTCCTTTTTAGTTTGCAACTTACCAATTAAAAAATAAGGAGATATCTTAAAAAATAAGGAGATATTTTTTTCCTTTTGTTTTGTGTGTGTGCTTGGGGAGTTTGATTGAAGTTCCTAAGTTACCAAGTAGGAAGGCTGGTCTTCAAATGGCAATGTTTGAAATATTCATTTCATTTGCCTAAGTCACACAATTCTTCTAAATGGACGACACTTTTACTTCTGTGCTCATACTTCCTATCCATTCCCACTCAATTTTGTGGTTTTCACGCTTCTGCTCTCACTATAACTCTATGTAACTTGGATTTTTTGTGTTAGAGGAGCAATTTTTGCCGGACCATTTCTAATGGTTGTCCAGCAAAATAGAAGACAAACGCATACTAAGCAAAGCCTTGAAACTCAACCAATTGGGTTAGCATAAATCATATTATTACATGAGGGTGAATTGCTTTACCTTCTCATTAGTGATGCAAAAAGAGTTTTAACTGTTGGAATATATCAACAGTTAAAATAAAATAAATATAGGGAAAAGCAGCAAGACTACCTCAACAAATATATCAAGTCAAATACGTATTAAGCTGACTTTCAAAAAAAAATTTAACAAAAAAAAAAAAAAAAAAAAGTTCTATGAGTATATTGTAACAAAAGGGATTATTGCTCTTGCCTACACCTTAAAATGGTAAAAGATTTGATGACATTTCCAAAATTTATACCATTCATGCATTCAAGCAAGAGGGAGTGAACGGATAGAAGAGCTATTGGCGTTTGGTTGACGGAAGCAAGCAGTCGTATACCCGTTCCATGCGTGATGTAATAGTGAGCTTATACGTAATTTGAAGGCCTGGCTTCCCCAAATCCCTAATATCTTCTCTCAACCTGTTAATTACAACCACTGGTTAGCTCCCTCCCTCCACGCGCACGCACAAAAACAAATCAGAATGTAAAATATTCAGGTAACGAATACATAAAACTGATGAATCAAAACTAACCACGGCCATTCTCCAGTTGCCTTGGCATGCCTCTCCACAGAACGGTAGAGGTGATCCAGACTATATAAAAGCAATCCGTACATGGATTGAGCATCGTTTTCCTGCAATAAACAGAAAATGAAGGATCCATTATCCCCAGCAGTCAAAAATAAATTACATGCCAGTACATATCCTTTTAGTAAAGATTGTTAGGAGGAGACAACTGCACATTAACAAATACTCGACTTTAACAACCTAAAGAAATAAAAAGAGAGGTCACAAATAATTATTTAAAACTACTTGAGCATTAGCTAGCCCCCATCTTTCTATTTTCTATCCAATCATTCTTTTTTTAATCAGTTATTAACTTATTATTACTATTATGATTAGGGAATGCATGAAAAAATAAATAAATAAATAAGGCAGGTCATTCCCATTTAGATGGATGATCAATATCAAGATAATGTTGCACATCAGTTGGATAAAAGGCGTGACAAAGATTTGAAACAATACATATATGCCCAAAAACCATTTTCTTAAGAAAAAAATGCAAGGACACAAAGTGCACACCATCACATGCAAGCAAGCATACACGTGCACGCATATAGAAAATTGTATATATTCCTCATTATTATTAGTGTAAATCATCATCGTCTAATTAAAATTGGTTCAATTTTGTTAATCTATAAAAACCTTACCCATGATTCTTGATGAGGATTAATAGTACATGCTTCTAAAAGTTAGTAGGAGCAGAAAGAATGCAACAAAGACTCACAACTTTACCTGGCCCAAGTCCCCACGGGCACAGTGAAGATGTTCAAGTTCCTGCGCAGTCTAGTCTCAGTTATATGTTGTTGGCCTAGTTTTTCTCATCATTACTATAAGTGAATAGTAAATTATAATAAATTCCATGATCTTCAGGCTTGGGTGTAGCGGCAGTTCATGGATTTTCATTCATTAGAAGATACTTAATTGTGCTAATAGACTTATCATTGATTTTAGAATCATTATAATTACGAAGTCCTAGTCTAACCACAATAGGAAACAAACAGCAACTTAGTAATATTTTGTACGTCGGCATTTCACGATCAGTTTAGAAAATTTCTTTGGGGCCATTGAAGCTCCTAACATATAATGCGACACAACTCCAACTCTAACTCAGATGTTTAATGGGCTCAAGATGAGCTTGCTGTTGCGAAATCAAACAGAAAATACAAGAAATAGATCAAACACACACACAACAAGAACGCACAGATTTTACTTGGTTCATCCAAAATTTAGGACTACATCCAAGGGTTGCAAGGTTTTCACTATGATAATAATAAAATATAAAAAATAAATAAATAAATAAAACTGCAACGGATACAGAGAGTTCAGAATGAATAAATACCCTCGCACTAGGGCAACATAACAAGTGCAGAAATTACCAAAATACCCTCCAAAAAATTCGGGCTTGGTGTACAGTATCTATCAGGCTCCATACTACCCATCACTTGCCTATGATTATTTGTATACTTGTTCTTCTTTATATACCGGGTAATAGTGTGGCCCCCGTTAATCGAGGGTGCTGGGAGATACAGACCGGAGATGACCTAACCTTTGGCATTTTTTGTACAAAGTGGCTGCTCTTAGGATTTGAACCTGCATTCACTTGTCTTCCTTTGTATACATTCCTTAATTTTAAAATAATAACGTGCTTACTTCTTCGATGACAACAGTACCTGCTTTTCTTTTCTTATTTTTAACGAATTACCTTTTTCCAAAATAAATAAACTGGGATTCCACTACAAGCTCATTACCTCAAGTCAAAACTCGTTAAATCCGTAGTTCTCCCTAATATTACAGCAACATATGTCATAAAACCAGTAGCTTGATGGGAATAAACCCTAACCAGTAGCTTATTGCGAACAAACCCTAACCTCAATCACGTAATGGGGCAGCTAATGAGCTGGCCAAGTTTTCCCTTACATTGGAGTCAAGAGATATCAAGGAGGGAAGCTTTGCAGTCTTGTGTCGCATAATGACTTGTGGGTCTAATTGCTGTAACCAAGGTTCACCTATCAATAAATTTCCGTTTGCCTTTCAGGTTAAACAAAAAGAAAGATTCCTTCTTCTGTTGCTGTCTAAGCTGTGAGCTTTTATTTGCTTTATAAATACTTCCTATCTTAGTGTTGCACGTTTAATTTGCTAAGGACAAACAAAAAATCATAATAGAAAGTCCAGACATAATTTTGGATTTCTTACCAATCCTTGATCCAGGCAAGTTTGGAACTGCATAATCCTTCTCTCAACTTCCACAATTAGTAGCCTTCTTTGGATACGAGCGATCCTTCCCCTGCCCTCTGCTCTAGTATCCTGATTTTTAGAACATGGAGGAATCAGACTGTGACAGCAAAGAAACTAACCAATAAACAATTTGTGACTGCTACACATTGCATATGATCTAACCTCTGAAAAAGCAGATACGACAGCTTTACTCCATTGGCCATATAACCATAGAAGTAAGCCATGCACTAGAATTTGTTGCTCAGACACAAGCAAGACAATGCCAAAGAATGAAAAATAACAAAACAAGAAAAGAAACAAAATAGGAAGAATTACATTCAACAAAGCCACTTCACATGTTATCTAAGGACCCAGTTCCATGTCCTACTTCAACCAAAATACAAAAGATAGAACTGTTTAACACATAAAAAAACATTCACTTAAAAGACAAAGGTAAAAATTATTTTGAAAAAAAAAAAATCAAATTAAGATTTACCTGAAATTCTTTTCTAAATTTCTAGCAACCTATACAAATATATTGTCAAAAATAGTTGTTAAAGGTGCCTAAATCACAACAAAAAATTCTCAGGCTCATCAAGCTCAACTAAAGCGCCTCAACCTACTACAAGTGAGGCTTCTTCACTGGGTGCATAAAAAGCCTTTACGCACAATTTTCAGCAGACACCTAACTAAAAATATAAAGAATGCTTTTTAGTGGAACTATTTATGGTACAGATATAATTTATAAGAGAGAAAGAGGATCACGTTAAATCCATGTAATAATCTCTCTAGTCTTTCACATTTATATATATATGTGTGTGTGTGTGTGTGTGTGTGTATATGGTACAATTTATCATTTCACAAACAGCTGCTAGATCAAATATTCTTTTCATACTTGTACTGCATTCCAAAATCAAGTAAATCAGAAACTGAAAAATATTTTTTAAAAAAAAAATAATTTTTGGATCGAACATCTTGACATATGTAATCAACTTGATATTAGGAATGCATAAGAAGCAGGATGTATTTATCAAACACACACACACAAAAGCTTGAATGTATACTAAAAAAAAATTCATATTCAGCCACCCAACTACAGGTGCAATAATATGGCAGTGCAGATTGAGGATGTGAAGACCCCTTTCTTGGTCTCCCCTTGTTAAATAGAAGGATAGTATAAATGGGTTGAGAGGCAGAAACGCAGTGCAAACTAATTTAGGAGACTTACTAGACTTGTCACCTAGATATAATTCCCAAATTCACAATAATCCTTTAGGTAATAAAAGTAATATAATAAGTCAAATTTAGTAGTAGCTGATTGTATTTAATTGATTTTTGACTAGGTTGAGTTCTCAAATGATGATAGAAATACTTCAACCTGGTATTACTCTACCCAGTAAGGATTACGAAAAACATATTGACAAGAAACATAGTTACTTTTCTTTTTTCCCTAGGTAACAAAGTTACTTTTTTATAAGCCTCCTAAATTCAATAAACTTATATTGAGCTTGGACTATGCTAACAATTTCAATTATTTCGAAAGTACAAATTCACCAAGGAGAACAGATGACATGGAGCAGGAATTTGTCTTTCTAACTGATTCCATGAACCTGAGATAAGGGAATCATAAGACTCAAGATGGAACATGGGGAGTCAGTATGACTAAATGGAGTCAATATTTCAATTTATTCAAATCCAACACGCCAAGGGATCATCTCAACCTAGTGTTTTCAAGAGTCAGCTTAAGAATGTTTGCTAATTGTAGGTACTAACATATAAAAGCTAAGCACAAAACATCATAACAATGCATTTTACGTGCACATACAATCGAGAGCAGAATACATAATCTACTTTATGAAATGCTCAATCAGAGTACTACACTATAGAAATAACTAGAGCTCCATGGTTCATTACCTGTTTAAGCCAAGCACGCACTAACATAATCAAAATAAGGGAGAGAAAAAATGCTGGTAAAGCAGCTAGAATAGCGAAGTTGATCTCATTGGCCCTTAGAATCTGATCCAGTTCGAGCATTGCGCTGTTCAAAATATGGTCATCAGGAATTTAAAGAACAAGAAAAACTTGAACGCGAAAGAGATCTGACTTCTACCCAAGGATACCAGCTCATTCACTCACGTCTCAATATCCAGTTTTAGCTTCTGAATCTGTAATGGCAAAAACCACTCGTCATGTGACCGAGATTAAAAACTACTGACCAGTGAAAAATTCAAACTTCACCTGAATGAGTAAAGCGCGAGCAAGCTCCCCACCAACGAGACTCTGGATTGGATGCATAAGTTCCTTCTCATACCTAATTAGAGAAATTAAAGAACTCAGTTTTGTCTGAGAAGAGAACAAAAGATGAAGCACCAAACTTATTTAACAAAAAAGAAAAAAATTAGAAAAGATGAAGCATGAAACTCAGACCCACACATGCATATGTATGCACAATAATAATATGCATATATATAAATATACATCTACATATTATATATGGGAAGGGAAATAAAGGGTTAACAAGAAAAACTGACGCCTTTCTCCTTGTGCCCCTCAATCCTACCAAAACTGCCAATTTCTCCATCCATGACCTTGGCCACTTTGGCACAGCCTAACACCATCCCATAAGCTATGCACGACCAGCCTGCTCTGTCCATCGTGTAAGCCGCACCTGGGCTTGCAATTCCACAATTCGATCTAGCCCACATGTTTGTCAAGCCACTCCCTTGACCAAAGACAAGTTGGCAACACCAAGAGCCAATATATGTGCTTGGCATGCCATGCCAAGCACATGGCTTAAGGCGGGCACCCATGTGCCACCTGTAATCGTGGTCGTCACATCAGGCTTTTCTTGAGACAGGCACAGGGCAGCACCAAAGGCCATCCCCACTTGGGCTGTTGTGTGGGGTGAGAGACCACACCCCCTGTATTTGTGCAAAATTAGAAGTTATAGACTGACACTGATAGGAAGAGACATGCCAACTGCTTAAGGATTCATAATTCCATAAATAATTATAGAGAACTTCAGTATCAGGGGCGTTTGTTCAATAACCAATGCCTTCTAATGCCCTGGTCCGCTTGGACTTGGCATATTTATGCAAATGCCATCGCCAGCCCACTTGTGCCTCGACTAGGAAGGCATAGCTTAACCTCCACTTGGTTTGGCCTTGGCTTAAGGACTTTGTCAAGGGTCTAACAGCTGTTCTCTTGGCAAGTTCAGTCATCTGGGAATTGAGGTACGATAAGTAAACGAAAGAGATGCAGTTTCCTCTTGGCAACTTCAGTCAACCAGGAATTGGCTATAGAGCATTTTTAACCCCATCCTAGTTTCTTCAAAACGTACTATGAGCTAGCTGCTTTTTTTTAACCCCTGGTCCTTTCTCTTCCTTTTTTTTCTTATATCTCTGTGAAGAATAACTTTTCCTCCCTCAATATTCCCCCTTTTCTAAGATATATAATATTCTCATTTTCAATTTAAAAAAATTACATTCTAAACATCACATCAGCAAGGCATCAGTCTCCATCACATAAAATTCTAAGGCTCACGACTCAACAAGAATTTTAGTTCTTAACAATCTACAAAACCAGGGAATTAGAACTCAAAAAGAAAGAATAAGCATTTAGAAATGCCATAAAGAGTCAATGTTCAGAAAATGTAGTCACTTGTTATCACATATTGATATATTGTGCAAAGAATGAAAGTAAAGGTCAGAATCTACTGATGGAGCTACATATGTGAGACGGCAAAAGATGTGCTGAGATGTTGACCTTCGTCTCAAACCCTGGCCTATCTTGGGTCCTTGAATCCGTTAGACCTTTATCATAGGCCCGATTTGAGGACTCATCGCCTGAGCTCGGAATTGGCTTAAGAAGAAATAAGCCCACAAGCCAATTTAGCTTGGCTTCTACAGATCATCACAAGCGGAGAACTAAGATGAAAACAATAATGGCAACAAAAAACTTTAGAGTGTTACCTTATATACTAAGTTGGTTGGTAGATAGAACAGTTCTTTTAGCATAAGCGGAATAAATATAAACCTACATATATCTCTTCATTTGAAAGTATAAGAAGAAAGTTGTAATACCCTATAAATAAATATTATATATGTGTGTGTGTGTGTGTGTGTGTGTGTGTGTGTGTGTGTGTGTGTGTGGACACATATTATTATTTAGGCATTATCCTTAATTAATATTAAGATAAGTGATTGTATTTAAAAGGAGATATCAGAGTTATCAATTAGTTTATTTTGGAATTTAAAAGAGTTCTTGTTGAACCTTATTACAAAACAAAAACCAAAGCTTAGCAAAATCATCATTGGGTTAGTCCCATACTATAGCTCCGTTAAGTTCAATTATCTCAGTTAAAAACCAAAGCATTGCTTAATTTAATTAATGCTCTTTAAGCATTAAAATAATCCTAACTCATAAATCAATGAGTTCATCAAGCATCTTAAATAATTAATTACATAAATAATAAATGTTGTAATATAGACCCAATTTGTATACTGCCTGCTTATACCATAATACTCTCCCTCAAGATCATTAAATTTGTTTTTACCATTAACTATACTCACCATTATCAATACTAAGTAATTGATACTCTTTATTCACTGTTCCAGTACAAATTCCTTTACCTGGAGCATTGAATTCCTTAGCTCGGCCTCACAGGACCATGGCTTACACACACCCAACCAATTCAAAGTCTATCACCAACACAAAGTCAACCTTAAATATCTAATCCTAATGACTCCAAAATGTACCATAGACTATGGGCTTAAATAAAAGTTATATGTATCAGTGACTATATTAATTCAAGACATGCAAAACCTGAAAACCCATTTACTGCCAACCACCACCTTCATCCTTAGTCTAAATCTAATTCATTCATTACTCCAATTAATCATGTACGCATCATTACATGCATTCAACCCATTAGTAAGTCACTTGCATTTCTTGAGCTTTTTCTACACCTACTGACATAGATATATATATATATATATATATATATATATATATCCAAAGGTGCATTCCGCAAACGATTTAGGTTCACTCGCTTTGACTTGCAAAATGAGTTCTTACTTGGAGGTTAGAATGAATCTAAAATAAGGAGATTGATCAGTTAGGGAAGGAAGAGGTCTACGCCCAGAATGCTACCCAACAAATGGGCCTGTCCCATCTAGATCTTCTCCAGTTAAGGAAGAGAGAACCTATTGCATTCATTACTTCCCTGAGTACCCTGATTCAATTCAACGAAAACTTGAAGTAGGGCCTATGTGCATTTTTGGACTAAAACTTAAAGTGCCAACTGTCTAAAAGAATGATATTCGTCGTACTTTGATCGTACCATATTCTCCCCTAATTCACCTACAATTGATTTAATTAATCCCACCAATAATTATGTATAGACAATCTGTTACATATATACTTATATGTAGAGGTCCATCCCAATCTTAATGTATAACATCTACACCAGTTCAAATAACACTATTCATGCCTAAGATATAATTATACCAGATCAACCAATCAATTCAACTAAAATCATACACTGGCATTCTTTTATATACATGAAAGTTGAGAGATTCAATAACCACTCCTTTTGAGATACCCATAATCCGAACAAGGAAAACACCAATACCTCGATAAAAATAAATCATTCTAATTCACATATGTATAGTAACTATCAACTTAAATATAAGCAGAGCACACCACATATCTAAAATCGAATTCTAATAAATCAGTAACTCCATTTGTAATCTCCATTTCTCTAATTAAAAATAATTATCATGAGTTCTACAGTTAAATCATAGATAATAATCTAACAATTAAGATACAAATAAATTCAGAGTTACAAGCAAGAATTAACTTCAAATGACGGTTAGTGACTATGAGATAAAGTTTACGGAACTCTCTTCATAAAAATAGTTCCACAGAGTGATAATTATGCCATTTTCATATATAATCATTCAGTAGACAACAACAAAAGAAGAAGATCCCACCTGGCCATAACTATTTCAAGCATTTCCTGGTCCGATGCGTTCTCATGAAATTTTTGACCTTTCGTCTGCTCACTGAAAGCCAACAACATTCTGCAATCCAAGAAAGTAGATATGTTACGGTTAAAACTGTCAACTAGATCCCAGACTATGTTTTGATGCCAAATTAAATTATCAGAGACCATTGATCAATGATAACTGCAGTGCCACATGCAAGCCATGTGCCTCGGAATGGACAAAGATCCTAACTAGCACTTAGGTTTTTTTTTTTCGGAAAATAAAACCTTGAATAGGTTTCACATAAACTAAAAAAAAGAAAATAAAAATAAAAAAAATATATTTAAAAATAAGTTTCACATGGCATAATAATAAGGAACAATAACAACCCACGGGGTGCACGCAATCTTCATCCATAACCAATTTAAACTTATAAATGTGCATGATTAGTATTTATTATCCAATATTCAACTAACCTGTGTAGAGAGTTAGCAGTTAAATTGACCTCTTCGAGCTCCATTACACCTTTGTGCCTCTTCCTGAATGTCTCAAAAAGTTCATCTCTTATAGATAGAATCTGATGAGAATATTGAGTTAGGAATGACTCAATCACTAGGTTATTTTATACTCCGTAATTATGCATAGCAGGTATGCATATTAAAAGATAACACATCCCAAATAAAGATAATCGTGAAATGAGTCAATTTGCCAATTTTCATATAAAATATAATTGACAAACCCTCAGCATGCCAATTTTTTTCTCTTCATATCTGTTGACAACTCGATTTCTCTATTGTCATTTTTTCTGTCCTAAACACAGCCTAATATCTATAGGAATTATATTATATATTACATATTGATTGATGAGCTGAAATCTTGAAATTTAAACATTGATGACTAAAAAGAATGCAAAACTCAAGAAAACTAGAGACGTTATTCGAAGGAGTGCTACTATTAAGTGAGAATAGTTGGCAGAAATCGTACCGGTTGCTCTACATGATCCTTCCAGAAGCTAACTGTCGAATCCCTTGCCTCATGAATCCAATTGTCAATGTCAGAACTTCCCATCACTCTACTATGACGAAGTAGCCATAATGAACAAATGGAGATGCCAACAGCCCCGCATGTATAGTGCATCCAGTATAGAGTTACTTTCCTTGGCTTGTGGTGTTTGGCGACCTAAGAGAAGAAAAGGTAAGCAGATAACATAAGCTCATATAATGTCAAATAATTGAACAACTGGAACCTCATATTTCATTTAACATGGTTAAGAAAAGATATGAGCTTAGTATTGATCCTTGATGAAAACCCACTTGGAAAATCATTAGTATCTCCACATATAGTTCAAACTCTAGTCCTCACTCTATGCATGTCTTGGATATTTTTAATATTATTTACAGGAATTCAATTCTTTGTCAGGCCAACCAAATTATGATATCTCAATAAACGATCATATGCCTTCTCTAAATCTATAAAAAAGGCTTACTAAATCTTTCTTTTTACGTCGGTCATCTTCCATTAATTGTCATATTAAGAAAATAGCCTCTTTGATGGATCTCCTTAAACATTGTTCTATAACCTTTTATTATAGTTTCATAGTGTGAATCATTAATTTGATCCCTCTATCGTTGCCACAATTTTGCACATCCCTTATTTTAGTATATTACTCTTTCTCCAATCATTTGGCAGCATGTCTCCCATCAAAAATTTGTTGAACAAGTTTGTAAGCCATTCGATTCCTACGCTTCACAAAGTTTTTCCAAACCTCAATCACCATATTATCAAATCCTATAGTTTTATTCTTCACCGTCTTTTTTAGGGTTTCTTGAACTTCTTTCTTATTAATTTGACTTATCATTCTTATATTGCGTTCATTACTCCCAATTTCTTCTCTAGATACTCATCATTTAATAGTCCTTGAATATAATTGTTTGTCTTTAATTAATATTGATGCATTGGATGCATATCACTTGATCCATATCTGAAATCAACCAATCTCTACTTGTTTGCTAATTTGTAAATTCTCTTTTTTAATGCATTTTGTTTAACTTTAATAATGTTTCTCAAATCAACCCATTCAATTTTTCTCTCTCCAAATCATCACGCTTCTTATTTTTTTGTCATTCTATAAAGTTCTTTCTCTTGCTTTATATTACTTGTATTTCATCACTCCACCATCATGTTTCTTATTTTATAATTTACTTTCTTTGATTTCTTTTAAAAGTTTCCTTAGCCACATTTCTTATGCACTCTGTTATTTTAAACCATAAACTATTTATGATGCCAATCCGATTCCATTACTTTTCTTGTAATATTTTCAGTGAAACCTTTCATCTTTTTCCATTCGTGTTCTAATATCTTTTTTCCTACCTTATCCCGATTGGATAGATTTTTTGCTTTCGGGGGAATGGGAAGAGAAATTTTTAGATGTCGCTCGGAAGAGGATAGATTTGTGGAGGAGGGTCATTGACTGCAAGTTTAGAGAGGATAGGAGTGGTTGGCCATGTAGGTGTTGATAGGATAGAATAAACACAAATCTATGGGGATACAGTTTTGGATAATGAAATGAGATAGGAGCAACACTTTTAGACTTAGCAAAAGCATATAACTTAGCTATAGCTAAAACTTATGTAACAAAAGAGAGTAGCATCTAATAACATTTAAAAGAGGAATAAGTAAAACGCAAAGAATTATTGCTTATATAGGAGGAATGGGCCTCGAGTAATGATTGTAAAGTGATTCCCGGGGAGAGCCTCACAGAACATCATTGCATACTAATTTTAGACATTAATCAAAGGGTTTAAGTATGCGGAAAAGGGGCATAAAAACATTAAGTAGTAAAGCAACCACTTTTAAAGAACAAATACTAAAGGAAAAGCAATGGGATTGGAATGATGATGTAAATAACTTGTGGCTCAAAATGGCAAATTGTATTAGGGATAAGGCGAAAGAAGTTTTGGCTGAAACTAAGGGGGGGAAGTTCATTAAGAAAGAGACATGGGGTAGAGTAAGGAAGTGCAACAAATAAATAAACAAAAGAGGAAAAGATTTAAAACATGGCAAAAAAGTAGGCTACAAGAAGACCAAGACACATATAATAAACTCAAATGTGAAACAAAAAGGATAGCAAGTAAAGCTAAACAAAGCTCATTAAATTTCTATATGAAAATTAGGTAAAAAATGAGGGCGAAAAGAAAATTTTATAATTAGCAAAAAATCGAGATAGACCTACTAAAGACTCGAGCCAAATTAGATGTATTAAATACTCTGGATCCTCTTTCAGATAGGCCCAGAAAGGAGAAGGAAGTCTGGAATGCCAACAGGCGTCTATTATTGAATTGGCATAGATAGCACAATATTAGTCAAAGAGAGCGATATATTAACTAGATGGAAGAATTATTTTCAAAATCTATTAAATGAGGAATACCCTAGAGAAGTAGTAGAACATGAATTTAACATTAATAAGGAAGTAGAGGACACACTTAAGAAAATGAGGAGTAATAAAGCGGTAGGCCTGAAGAATATATCCATAGAGGCTTGGCAAACTTTAGGAAATGTGGGAATTGAGTGGCTAACAAATTTTTTTTAACAACATCCTAAGACAAGGCATGATGCCAAATAAGTGAGAAAAAGTACGACAGTCCCAATTTACAAAAATAAAGGGGATATACAAAATTGTGGCAACTATAGAAGAATTAAATTAATTATTCCAAACAATGAATATATGAAAAGCGGTAATAAAACAAACTAATGAAGGAATCCACGGTATCTGGTAACCAATACAGATTCATCCCGAGTAGATTAACAATGGAAGCTATATACCTACTTAGACAACTGTTGATTACACAAGGTTTTTGTAGACTTAGAAAAAGCATATGATAGGGTTCCACGGGATACAAAACAAATCCCCTTACAAATCATAAAAAGTATCCAAGATCTGTATAAACTAAAGTTCATACATGTGGAGACACTAGTGAGTTTTCCATACACGTAGGCACCACCTCTAAGTCTCTAACTTAATTAGTCACTCCAATTTCACTAAACAGATTTCATAGCTGGATCTAGTTATTTTAGAATTTCATGGGTATTCAAGTTCAATGCAACTTAAGTGTTTTATGTTTTCTGTTCAATCAATTTACTTTTTCTGATACACTTCCAAAAGGTACAAACATGAGGATAAAAATAAAATAATAATAATAATAATAATTAAAATTAAAAAAAATAAAATAAAATAATAAAAAACTATCTCAACAATTATTATAGTGCATTGAAAAAAAAAAAAAAATGAGAACTCTTACTAGGCTACATAAGTAAGAATCCAGTTTTTGTAGATTTTGATATATCAAGTTGATAACATCTCTAATCTCACAATCTGTCCACTGAGAGCCTTCTTGGTTTACTTCCGGTAAATTCTCAAACATTAGAGGGAACGAGTAGCTCCCATCAACAGAAGAATCAATCTGCACAATTGTTGCAAAAGAAGGGGGGGAAATGCTGTAACTGAAGATACATGTATCAAACACATAATAATTGTGCATTCTTTTGATTTTTCATATCGCAAAGTGAACATAATTACAGGGACGAAAACACAATCCTAAAGTAAATTGCAACTACAACAAGGATAGCCAAGAAAAAAATTAGATCACGTGTTTTGATAATTACCTGCCGCGTTGCATGCAAATGACCAATTGACGACTGCAATTTTGAAAACAAACCATTGATAGTGATCAACAATGAGGGCAAAGACTTCTCTGGGTTCTTGACTAATTCTTCCCCAAATCTGTCAACCTCCATGTAAACCTACATGAACACAAACAAATAAATTTCAATCATTACACATTTTTTATATGGCTGGCTGGGTGGTGTATGCATATCTCCGGTTCCAAAACATATGCATGTGTGTATGTAGAGGAAAGGAGATACACTGCCGAAAAATTGAAGACAGGAAAACAAGTAGATAGAGAGAGGGTAATTACAGTTCCATTTAATTGCCAAAAAAAAAAATTGCATTTGGTCACTGCAGCATACAGCTCCATGGTTCCGAACTCCCAATGTGTGAACTTAAGACATCTCTATTCCAAATAGACTAGATAATGGACAACCTGGACTAATTTGTGGACCTAACCTGCAAGCAATATAATTAAGATGGACTGAGCTAGATTACCTAATTCTCAAGCAGCAAAGCTAGACCTGAGATTTCTATGCTTGAGACCAATCAAAGGGCCCCACAATGGAAGGCTCCCACTCCCTTGCTGTACCAAAAGCGTATCCAATTATGGTTCCTCATCAACGACCTCATATTCATTGCAGCATATTATATCAGATCATTGAAGCTACATAGACAGTATGTGACTCATGGTGTGCACTGTTTTACATCAAGATTCTGGAATTCTAAGAATAAAAAAGAAGAATCTAGTTTCAATTATTATTTATCCAAACCTAAGATTCTGAAATGTTATTTACAACTGAACTCCTTTTCCTAATGATAAGTTCGTTATAGCTGAGCTGCCACATAATATTGTTGGGTGATTTGAAGAATGACATAAAACAGTAAAGAGAACGCATAAAAAAATTATTATGAGATTGAACAAATTTTCCATATCATTTATTAATCAACACAAAGTATCATTAGTAAAAAGAAAGGAAAAAAGTACATATAAATTTAATTTGACTTACATATGTTAATGGATTTAAATATTAAAGTTACAACCTCTCTAACAGCATAAGCTTTTAGAGAAGATTGTGGTTAACATGATGTCACAGTAGGCAAGGTCCTAAGTTCATACCTCATCGTCACCCTGATGATTAAAATTGAAACTTGATTTGGACCAAAAGAAGGACACAGGTGAGGGGGCGTGTTAGAGGATTTAAATATTAACGTTACACCCTCTCTAACAGCTTAAGCTTTTAAAGTAGAAAGTGGTTAACAACATAGTAATTTTTTCTGTTGGTTCATGGATACTCCAATCATAATTTCAGGTGTCGTCCTTTACTGAATTGTTTATGGCCATCAATCCAACTGTGCATGTTAACATGAATTACCTATTCTGGCCACATCGACACATAAGGTTCAAATTAGTGCCTTCATTTTATAAATTGGTTCCATTGCTACATGCTAATAAGATAATTACTATAAGACACAGTACTCATGAAAACATGCATCCACGCAACTTCTCATAGGTCATATAAAAAAGCATGACTATCTTAGCGGTTAGCACATTGCTACAAACATCGCTATCAGTTAAATGTTTTTGAATAAACATGCGGAAAAGAAAAGTAAAGGACATGTTTGTTTATAAGAGAAAAAAGGAAAGGATATTGTTAACCCTCCCCTGGTATGGGTAACTAGGAAATAAAAAGAAGGAAATTAAAGTGGTAACCCTTTCATCTTGTTTGGAAAAAAGATAGTGGATAGAGGAACTGTACATATCTATGCGTTTTATGATGTGAATGGAAAGGCAACACAAGAATTGAGTTGTTAAAGAAGGGAGGGACAAAATGGATAATCACTAACTTTTTTATCCTCCATTTTCCTTCACTTTCACAAGGATGGCTAAACTCTGTTAAAGTAAGATCAAACTCTTCCTCCTCCCTCTTTCTTTTCTTTTCCCTTCACATTTTCAAACCAAACATGAGATAACCTTTCCCTCCACCTTTATTCCCAACTCCCTCAATCCAATTGCAATCTTAGGACCCGTTTCACATTGTTGTAACTTACAATAAGTACTCTTTTTATGTAGAGTTGTCAAAAAGGTGTTGTCTCTGGAAAACAAATAATGTTTGGCGGCTTTCAAAATATTCTTTTTCATAAATACTCTTACATATTTCTACCTCTACTTGCAAAAGCTCTAATTTTTAGCTTTGACTAAAAGCTCTACTAATCCAAAATATGTACAAGTGAAAAGTACTTTTTTATGTCACATCCAAAAGAGAATTTTCAAATTAAAAGCGCTTTTTGTCTGTCCAACAACGCCAAACAGTCACTTAAGCGCTTTGAGAATTTATAAGAATAATGCATAGAACTTTATACTTCAAACCAGCATAAAATTAAAATTTATTGGTAAAAAGGGAATAAGCCTGATCAAACAGTTCGGAGAGTTTGTGATGAACCAGCTAATCAGGATAAACAAGTGCATATATATAGACATGACTTAAACAAAGAGTTTTGAAAGAAACAAAAATGACTATTGATTAAGGCACAGAAATTTCAAAAAGACAACATCCGACAAAGGAAACATACAGCCAAGGCTTCAAAAGAATGAAAAATTGCAAAAACATATTCTCGGTAATCTAAAAAGTTCCACAAGAGCGCCATAAAAAATTAAAATTAAAAACAAAAAACAAAAATCATCTCAAGGAAACAAACTTTACAATCATCAACAATCAATGTACAAATACCAAGTTGGGTAAATAGCCCATGGTGTTGTGTCAATAGGACTTAGGTTGATAATTTCCAATAAAACGGAGTTTTTAAGTTCATTTATATTTTAAAAGGTAGTAAAGGAAGATCAAATTAGGGGTTTGGTATTGAGCGGGATAGGTTGTGGAGGAGGGTTATCTTGTGTCTCTTTTTTTTTTGGGGGGGGGGGGGTGGGGGTGTGTGTGGTGTCTATTCCTAGAGGCATTGGTGTTTGGAAAGCCATTCGGAAGGGATGGAATGAGTTTTCTAAGCATATCAAATTCAAAATTCATGATGGTACGGAGATTCGGTTTTGAGAGGATTTGAGGTGTGGAGATCGCACTTTAGCATGTTCTTTCCCCAGACTTTTTAGGATTGCGGCTAAGAGGCATGCCTCGGTGGCTGACTGCTATCGCCTTGACAGCGGGAGACCGGTTTGGGACGTGCTTTTTTAGCGATATTTTCAAGACTGGGAGATGGATAATGTCTTTGGTTTCTTAGAGTTGTTGTACAGCCAGGCGATTCGTGGAGGAGGTAAGGATTCTCTTGTTTGGATTCCTTCTTCTAGGGGAATGTTTAGTGTGAGATCTTTCTTCGGATGCCTTTTAAACCCAGCTGGGGTGGTATTCCCTTGGAAGGCAGTGTGGCGAACTAAGGCGCCGTTGAAAATGGCATTCTTCGCTTGGACGGTCATGTGGGGTAAAATATTGACGCTGGATAATTTGAGAAGGAGAAAATATATCACGGTGAATTGGTGTTGCATGTGTAAGTGTAATGGAGAGTCGGTTGACCACTTCTTTTGCATTGTCCAGTGGTAGTTGAATGTTGGAATCTCTTGTTAGTCCTATTTGGAGTTTACTGGGTCATGCCTAGATCTACGAGAGGTCTGATGGACACCTGGAGAGGGGGTTGGGTGGGAGCACAGGCTCAAGGGTTTTGGAGGATGGTGCCCCTGTGTCTTTGGTGGTGTCTATGGAGGGAGCGGAATAGAAGATCATTTGAAGGAGAGGAATCTTCGGTCATTGCACTCAAATCTTCTGTTATTAGCTCTCTTTTTTTTTGGGGTTCGGGTAGACTATGTTCCTCTGCTGAGGAGATTATTGAGTTTTTGGCTTCCCTGGGGCCTTAGGGTACCCAGGTTTTTGTGGCCTTGTAGGGACGCATTCTCCTTTTGAATACTTTTAATGAATTGCTTATTTATCAAAAAAAAAAAAAAAAGGTAGTAAAGGAGCCAATGTGAGATATTTGTGGAATTCTCTGGAATGTTAATTTTCATTAGTATTTCAAGGATTAAACAAGGGTGGAAAGGTAATTTAACCTCTCAAGTACTCGCTCACCTAAGGTAGAAAGCTTAGAGCAAAAACTCTCACTGCATTCCTTACTCTCGTGACTCACTCTTTCTTTTTCATATCTTTTCTAAGCTGTTCTAGGAGGGCTGGGAAACAACCCCCCCCCCCCCCCCCCCCCCCCCCCCCCCCTCTCCTCTTTCTCTATCTTTACCAATATTATGACTGGACAAAAATATAGATAGTTAATATTAAAAGGATGAACATGCTCTTAGAAATCATTCAGTCCCATATTACAAAAAGACTAGAATAAGTTGAAAATCTAAAAGTTGTTAAATGATAAAAGGCGACAAGATCTTGAAATTATCAAATATTAACTTAAGAGGGGATTTGGGACGCTAAGAAATACACACACACATAATAATAATAATAATAATAATAATAAATAAATAAATTGCCAAGATACATGTTGTAATATAGCCAATGAAATTAACGTAAGTTTTTATTTCTGACTTACAACTAAGGAAGAGTACTCTAAGAGTTTAAATATGTTCAATTTTAACCAGTGGCCTAGCGGTACCAGGCTCCTACTTTCTAAAAGGAGGTAAGGGATTCGAACCTCGGTAGAGGCATGTATGTATGAGTACCAACTAGGAAAAAAAAAAATAACTAAGACGTTTAACAAAACTGAAAATTGAGTGGTGAAAATTTTGCAAGTTGAACGGTAAGTATTGAATTTATAATTAATTTATTTTAAGGGTAAATTTCTCCAGTACAACAAAAAAAAAAAAAAAAAAATTAACAAATTCTCTGAATGTATCCAATAATAAGTGAATTTCCATTCACATCAGATTCTGACTCCTTTTTAGTGGAATATATTTTTCCGAGTGACACCGAAATCACATTTTCAAATGCTTACTTGCAAAATTATTTTAAATGCCCAGTTTTAATTGTTAAATTGGTTAATCAACCAGCAGCTGCTATAGAATATCCTAGTGCAAATCAGCAAAAATACAAGAAAGAAGAATGAGGATGTAGTCACTTGTGAAATTTGATGACCTATCATTAACAAAGACCATCATTTCCAATATCTTAGATTGATTATCTATAAGAAGGGAAAGAATGAAGAGAAATTACCCACATTAAAGTGTGACGCATGAAACGGAAGTAGTTATAAAATGTTGTGTGATGGTTATTCTTGTCAAGTTGAAGGAAAGTTCTGAAAGACACTTGTATGACAATTTTGTTTTATAGTTAAAAATTTAGGCAACTAAGAGATGAGAGCATAAGTATGATGTTAGACCTAGATGCTGCATCATTTGAAATGACAATTTTGTTTTATAGTTAAAAGTTTAGGCAGCTAAGAGATGAGAGCATAAGTAGGATGTTAGACCTAGATGTTGCATCATTTGTAAGTTTGAAACTAATATGAAATATATAAATATATAGCATGAGATGATTTGGTCATATTTCCCAAAGACTAACCATAACCTACCAAGAAAATGCAGAGCAACTAATACGCTGAAGAAGAGTTATTCGCTACATGTTGAAGGTGTTAAAAAGGATTCAAGCAATGACAAAAAGAATGACTGTTGATCCTTCAAGGAGGACATTAGTGCATTGTACTTTGACTGAAGATATTATTTATAAAGAGTTGACAAGAGATGACTTGTGTAGCCAAACTAACTAGCATGGACTAACGCTTGTTGAGAACAGCTGTAATGTTACAAAAAGAAGCAAGTATTCTAATTGTGATATTTAGCATCAAAACAACAAATAACAACAAAATAATATATTACTTCTTAACAATTTTTTTAACAAAACTAAAAAAAGGAGCAATTATTTAACAATTATATACAAAAATCAATTTTCTATTCCATATATATTACTAATGATCTTTCAGTGATGTCATAATTTCCCAATTAATTTTTTGTATCAACCATTCAAGTTCAGTAAATGGATAATTGATATATTAAGGGTGCTTCTTATGAAACCCCTGGGGAAAAAAGTTTATACGTTCTCATCGCCACTACTTTGAGATTCTAGTTCATACCCATCGTAGAACTCATAAGATAATTCACTGAACATTAAGATTGATTCATCTTTTGTCGTGCAAAGCATATATAATGAACCACTAGCATTCAAAAGATGATAACAAGAAACTGAAGAGAAGGAAATTAAAATTTTCAGAAAATTAAATTGCTTCTCAAATTTATGTTCCAGAATAACTCTACACGTCCAATAATGCATCTCCACCATGTCCAAATGCACAATTATTATCAAGAGAGTGAGTCCATACGATAGGGAAAGATGAGAAGGGAATTACTATTGATCAAGATGTAAGCCCTGAAATAAACCTACAAAAAGGGCAATTCAATGCTATGAAGATGATTGATGGAAAATATATACTTTTTATTTATACAACAGCAATGATACTAAATTACACTAAAGAAAATTAACAACAATATAAGGAAACCTGGGCCAAAAATGTAGCCAGAGAGTATCTTAAGCTTGTTAAGATGGCTATCCTCTCAGATATATGGGCAGATGCGGAATGACATAGATGTTCCATGGCATCCATGCTAGAACCCTCAGCAACATATTCACGTATCAACTGAATTGTTCCACCAAAAAAGGCCAATGGCCCCCTCTCACAAATCATGAAGTATACTTTACGAGCATTTGATGCCTGAAATTAGTTAAAAAAAAAAAAAATTGTGTATGGTTAACACTAACAATAGCATTACAAGAAACTATCCACTACAATATTTTATAAACTTCAAAGAGGAAATCATTCTCAGCCATTGGAAGGACCTCATTCACTAACCTCTGCTCTAGATTGCCAAAATTGTAAGTTCTTTTGGATGTTATGCAAATTAAAAAAGACGTGGTCCAAAATATCCTCCAACACATCAAAAACTTTAGATGCCTCTGATGAAACCCTGCATGTACAGAGCATGAAACCATTTTTTAAGGACGTCTAGTTTAAACTTTCACCACATTTGTACAATACTGTTGATTTTTTAAAGATTATATAAACACATACATATATATATATATATATATATATATATACATAGAGAGAGAGAGAAGAGAGAATTCATCACATATATATGTAGAGAGAGAGAATTGAAATATAAGATAAAATTTATCTTCAAATCTAAAGCACGTTTACAAAGAGATTTTATTACTAAAAAGTAACGCCTATTAAATTATAATAAAAAAGTATAAAAAAGAAAAGGAAATCTGATGATAATATATAAATGGAGGGCAGGGGAGAGAGAGAGAGAGAGTAATGATATAAGACCTATGCGCATTAAATAACAATTTATATCATCCCCAGATAAAATTGGTCCCACAACTCACTCTCCAAGATTATCACTAAATGGTTCAAGAGCACAGACAAATTTGGTTTGATGACCCACCCTCTAGAAAATTTGGTTTAACGACCCACCTCCCAGAAAGATTGGTTTGACGACCCACTCTCCAACATTGTCATGAGCACCTAAGAAGCATGGACACGAGTACGATACGATACGACACCGACACGGCGATACGCCAAATCTCAAAAAATAGGACATGGATACAGCAATAAAATAATAATATAATGCATATATATAATAACTAATTTCTTTTTCAATTTCTCCACTATTTAAATTGAACACACTAGCATTCCATAACAATTTTTTTTTAAATGTAAGGGTCCATTAGCCCAAATTTCATTAAAATATTAACAAATAAGAAGTCTTAACGGTTAACCTCAGGTTGTATATATCTTTGTATCCAAAAAGTAAAAGTCTTAATCTAGGGACCAAACACAAAAAGTAAAAATCTTAATCTAGGGACCAAACAGGTGGTAAAAGGCATAAGGTTGCACCTATCCCTCACTCTCTCTCTCTCTCTCATTCACGAACATGGATCTGGGGACCAAACAGGTGGGCAGGTTGGGGGAGAGAGAAAGAGAGCAATATGACAGTTTTGGGTTATTGGTATGGGAGTAATATGGTAATTTGAGATTCAGCTTCAGACTTTTTTAATTAAAAACCTAATATAAAATGAAGGGCAATTATGACATTTCACATGCAAATTTAACGCTCGACTCCGACAGGGGTGTTTGTGTAGGTTTCCACTAAAATTCTAGAGAACTTCATGATGAAAAGCTACTTCTAAAAGTTTTATTACCAACAGTTAGAAGAAAGAAACGGAACAAGAATATGAAGAACAAAGGGAAAGCAGTCATTATAAGCATGAAGTTATGAGATTTAGGGTGGTGAAAAAGAGAATTCAAAGTATTTTCCACTTCATATTTACTAATAGAATGTCTCCAAATTTTTGTAATTAATGGCAGAATTTGTGCATGCATGTATTAAGAATAAGTTCTTCTTTAGAAATTCATTCGGTCAGATTCGCTGGAGGCGTGGGTGTTTGGAAATTCATTCGAAAGGGATGGGATGAATTTTCTAAACATATCAGATTCAGAGTACGGGATGGCAGGGGAGTTCGGTTCAGGGAGGATTTATGGTGTGGCGATTGCCCGTTGGCTCGTTCCTTTCCCAGACTTTTCCGGATTGCCATGGATAGACATGCTTTGGTGGCCGACTGTTATCGGCTTGATAATGGTAGGCTCACGTAGGATGTGCATTTTCGGCGTTCCTTTCAAGATTGGAAGTTGGAAAAGGTTTCAGGTTAGTTGGAGCTGTTGTACAATCAGGAGGTGGATGGTAGTGGCACTAACTCTCTGGTTTGGGTGCCTTCCTCCCAGGGGAGATTCAAGGTCCGTTCCCTATTCCATTGTCTCTCTGATTTTTATGGTTCTAATTTCCCTTAGAAGACGGTTTGGCATTCCAAGGCTCCCTTTAGAGTGGCCTTCTTTGTCTGAACTACTGTTTGGGGCAAGATTTTGACCCTGGATAATTTGAGAAAGAGAAGACAAATTGCAATCAATTGGTGTTGTTTGTGCAAGAGGAGTGACGATTATGTGGATCACCTTCTTTTGCATTGCCCTGTAGCTCACTACTACTATAGCCTTATCTTCGGTCTTTTCGACGTCCATTGGGTCATGCCTCAGTCCTCGAGAGATTTGATTGATGCTTGGCAAGGTTGCAGTGTGGGGACCCACGCCCGTGAGTGTTGGAGGGCAGTTCCCCTTTGTGTTTGGTGGTGCTTATGGAAGGAGCGAAATAGAAGATCTTTTGATAGGGAGGAATCTTCCTTAGGGGCTTTGAAGTTTCATATTATTAGCTCTCTTTTTAGTTGGGTTTTGAGGAGAAATTGTATATCGATAGATGAGTTTATTGATTTTTTTGGTTCGGTGGGTCCTTGGGACCTTGTCTATGGCTTCGGCCTCCGTATAGCTCTTCGGACGCGTTCCCTGTTTGAACACTTTCTAATACATTTTACTTATCAAAAAAAAAAAAGTTCTTCTTTAGGGTCAGTTTATGTGAATGAATTTTTTTTAGAAGAAAAGCTATTTCATATCTAACTTTCCGATTTTGAAAACAAATGTTCTCTAGAAGCTAATTGAAGAAAATGATGAACTTCCCTCAAGGCCATGCAATAAAAACCATTCAATAAAGAAATGTGTTACATGAATTTCTATCAGCATAAAAAAAATCTTGGAATTTGATTTTTGTGTGAACATACCAATAATTTACTTTTAAAATAAAATTCACATGAAAAGGATCGAGGGGCAAGAGTTTTCCCCCTAGTTGAAATTTAGAGAGCTTGACTTTTAAAACTGAATGCTATATATGCTGTTGTGAAAGGTGGTTTTTAAATTTAATCTGAATTAGAAGATCAACCTAAATGTTCAATTCTACCAATTCAGCTTCTTATAATCCTTATGACAACTAATTCAGTACTAAGGTTGTTGGGTGCTTAATTTTCAATTCCATAAAATAACACATCAATGCCATAAGTATCCCCATACAAAACTATTGTATTGAATCTTACTATCAATAAATTCATACCGAAGTGTGAAATTTTTCCCAAGAAAATAGCAAAAAAAATTATATATATATATATACATATATATAAAAGAAAAAGTAAAGGAAAATCAATCAACAAAGACAGAGGAGAAATGGATAAGTTCAGCTTACCCGAAAGAGTCGCGTGAAGTGGAAGGCAACGGCAGAGGGAGAGAAGTCCTGCGTCTCCTAGATTTGGCGCGAGCTGTTTGGCGGTAGAGATTTGAAATTCTCCCGAGAAAATTCAAGTCTGGAGAGGGCAAGAAACTGAATACTCGGTTCCAGAGATAGTTAGAGTAGAGTGAGATTAGGGTTTTCACGTCCTTGGCTTCGCTTCCAGAGGGAGCCGCCATCAGTGAATGTGGTTGGTCTTCCAATCGCTCGCAGCTTTCGAACTTTTAAACTTGTTCAGCAATTCAATGGAAGTGGAAAAGCTTAAAGTATTTTTCGGTGGGAGAATGACCTTTTCTTACTATCAAATTACGAAATACTCCTCTAGACCATGGACGAAATAGATGAGAAATTAATCAATTGCGTAATTTGCACTCACACCCCCCTCAATTTTGTAATAAAGACAGATAAATACAATTGAGGAAGAGTGTCATTCAATTACCCCCTCAAGTTTGCAAACTTAACAACAACATATCCAACCATGATAAGAGTACGTAATTGCTAACATCCCCAATCATGATAAGAGTACGTAATTGTCCTTTGACTTTTAAATTGACCCATTTAAATCATGAAAGTGTAATATTAACCTTTTACAAGTCCTTTGATTTGACCAAAATAACCCTTGTCAAAAAAAAAAAAAGTTCCAAATTCCAATAGACCTCTTGCAATAAAAGATCAAATTTAGCAAAAAAAAATAATTATTATTAATTATTATGGTAATCCTTATAAACATAGTATATTTACGCACACATATATTCACACACATACATAATTATTATTTGTTATGAATTAGAAAGAAAAAAAAAAATTATTCACTTGACAACAACAATGATTCGATCGACAACTTTTCTCTTCAATTTTATTACATATTATTTATAGACACATTTTAACAATATACATTAAACTTGCCCAAAAAAATTTCTTACAATGATTTTATGTTATTTTAAAATTTTAATTTTACATTATTAGTTTGACCCTACCAATGAAAAATTCCTGGGTCCGCTCTTATTTGTGTGCATATGGCATTGGCGGCCACAGTGGTAAAGTTTTATTTTTTATTTTATTTTTCTAAGGGTCATTTTAGTCAAATAAAAAGACCTATAAAAGTTAATATTGTACTTTAATAATTTAAATGTGTCAATTCAGAAGTTAAAGGGCAATTAGGCACTCTTATCATGGTTTGGGTGTTATTTTTCAAATTTGCAAACTTGATGGGGCAATTGGATTACACTCTCTCTAAGTTGTATTTACCTGTCCTTATTGCAAACCGGAGGGAGTGTGAGTGCAAATTACCCTAATCAATTTTTTCTATGCTTTTAATTTTAGTTTTTATTTATTTGTATAGTTTAGGTAACTAGGATATAATGGTTTGAAAATAATAAAATAAACATTTCTTCTTTTCTTTCTCAAGCAATGAAATGTGTAAAAAAAAAACAAAACAAAACATAACATAAAAAAATAATAATAATAATACTCATTCTCTTCCTAAGGAGTACAAATAATTTTCTTAAAGTGTCAATGACAGAATCGGACACTCTAACACTTTTATATACGCGGAAGCTATCGGAATGCATGTCAATATTCTGAATAATGAATATTTTATTTTCTGATCCATAACATTATTTTATTTTCTAAAAAAACTCAGGAAACGAGCCGCAAGCCCTCAATCAGCTCAACGAACCCTTCAAAATAGTTGTCCTCACTTTGACTCTCAATACTCTTTTCCATCTTTTGATTCGGTGATACTCTAAGTCTCCAATACTCCACCTTTGTAAGGGTTTAATCATAACCAATTTATGTTGTTTTTACTTGATAGGGAAAAATAAACCTAACCTACCTTGACCAGCCACGAGACCTCTTCGACATATTTCGTTATCAGAGATAAAGATTTCAATCGGATAAGAATGATGACATTTCTTATTCAGGATAATGAATGACGACGTGATTCAACAGGGTAAGGATAACCTGGGCACAATTTGATAAAGTCAAAGGAATAAATCATATCATCGACAAATCTGGCAACAAACGATCTCCTCTAATCTCGCACAAGCGGATCTCCTGCAGAACCAATTTGATTCCAATCGATAGCCATAAAAAGGGCACCGAGCCGTTAAAGAAGGTACGTGAAAAAATCCCTAAACATGATATACATAATTATTATGTGATACGATTACAAGTACTAACTTGATCGTCGGAGGGTCCTTGGCTGGCACCCCACTGGTGCCATTCGAGGTGACGTCCCTTTGTTTTGTAGGTAAACGCAGTCATTCCGAGTCGCGAGGATTTTCGCATCAACAGCTGGCACCGTCTATGGGAACGATTAGTTCTCTAAAGAAATAATAATCTTGACGTGACTTGGCTCGGACGGCAAGACGAAAGTTTCCTATCATGGAAACCTTCCCAAAGTCATCAGTTAACAACGGGTTTCCATGTTCTTATATAGGGACGGGTTTCTACATCATGATTACTCGTCCATCATATTGGGGGCAAAATGGTGGGTTGCGTGATGCCACCCGGTGTATGATGACAATAATCAAAATTTGGCACGTTAACCCAGGCAATCCAGTATGGTGTTTTCCATCTAGCGATGCTCGGTCCCTTCACTACTGACGTTTAGTCATCTAAGACCAAACTCTATATCATATCTGGCAGCAGCCAACTACCAAGGCCTGATCATTGAAAACTAAGGCCTGGTCCTTCTACGCCTACATAAGTGAGGATGTCTTTAGCAACAAGGGGGTTTCTACGTACTAGTAAAGCCTCTACCACTGAGGATGTCTTTAGCAACGGAGTCTCATTACTCCGTTCGTTCGTGTAATCAGGGTAGCCTTCTACACCCAAGAATGTATCGAGGCCTTCAGGTCCAAGGAGGTTTAATGTCCCTCCAGATCCCATGAGGTGTGACAACCTTGGATTTTTTAACCCAGTGTGTGTCCTGTGATGACCCGAAGCGGATCCCAAATGAGGAAGCAAAATGAAAACAAGTCCATAGAGATGTACGTTATCCCTAGGACACAAGAATACACTTTTAAAAAGTTTCAAGACTCAACAGAAGTAAAACGAAGACAAGGGTATCAAAACCCTACTGAAAGAAGGACCAAGGGTAAAATGGTCATTTTACCCTAAGAGGAAGGAATTTGACTTCTAACAAGTAAAATGAGATCAAAAACATCCAAAAACATCCTTTGGTAACTTTACATGAAGTACCAAGGCCAAAGGAAGTGAAATCCCAAATGAACTCTATCTCGATTCAAACCAAAACTGGCACCCTCTCACTAAAATAAGGATATCTCAAGCTATAAGAAGAATCTGAAACTGAAATTTATGCCATTGGAAATACAACAAAAAATGAATTAAAATGGACTCAAGAATCACCTGATTCGGAGTCCGGACAGAAAAGATATCAAGTCTTGAAGTTAAGGAAAGAAAACCCCATTTCGGTTCAAACCAAATCCTAACACTACCTCACTAAAACATGAATAACTTGAGTTACAAATGGAATCTGAAGTTCTAATTGTTACCATTGGAAAGCTTATTTCGACGCGGTCAATTTAGACTCAAGAACGGACCAATTCATAGTTGAAACGAGTAAGATATGGCCCTCTAAAGGAATATCTCTGGAGCAGGAACAGGTCCCCGCTGGGGCCCGCCCAAATGCTGCTGGGGCCCACCAAATGTGGCAGATCCCCGTGGGCGCCCGCCAAAATGCTGCGGGGGCCCATCAAATGCAACAGTGGCGTGGACTAGAACCCCAAAATGCGGAAACTAATCAAAGGGAAACATGGATGAACCTAATTAATCATTTTTAAGGGTGTGCAACCTACTTAAAAATGATTTTAATCAATAAAAAAGATTAAGCAAATGATGGCTTTAAGGCCTCATGGCATATTATTTACAAATTAGGCTCAATCCTTGAAATTCCATAAACAAACTATGAAGTTAAACTAACAGACATGTCATATAAGTGTCTTTGGCCCTTAGTCTCATTACATATACATCTGAAGAGTGTCAAAAGCTGCACTTAAGTGCACATTACATAGTTTAGGCAACAAATACTAGTTTTGGTCAATTGCACAAAAAACCCCTCTTTAAAACCATAATCCCAAAGTGGCCCAAAAATAATTGCAAGACTTAATTTGGAGCATACACTTGTCACTCATCCAAGCATCCATTGTAGGCTTAATCCTAAGCCTACACTTGTCAACCATCCAAGCCAACAAGTGCACCTATCCTAGGTCAACAAGTGGTTCAATATCCACCCTCCACATGTCATGATCCAAGGCATGAAAGTGTCCCTACACAAATGTCAACAAGTGGACCAATGAGAGTGTGACACTTGCCACACTTTTCAAAAATTGCAAAAAGGTTCTTTTTGAAAATATCTTCCAAATTAAATTGCAAAATGGTCCCTAAGACGAAAAATAATTACTATACAGTAATTACACAAATGACACCAAAAGAAAGAAAAATTCCAAAGAAATGTGCATTCACACCCCTAAGGAAGAAAGTACACAACTAGCATGCTTTTTCACAAAAGTAAAATACACATAGCATGTAATTTAAATATCGTGGATGCATGCAAAACCGGAACCAAATCCGAACAGGAAAAGTGAGGTTAAACCAACAAAGTGACAATTGAGAAATAGACGAAAAGTGAACAGTGTCACAAAAGTGAAAATGTGAAAATGAGTCGGTTCTCAAAGGAAGTCGTCAACCCAAGGGAAAAAGTCTCGGAAAACATCCCCGAGCACTCAAGATGACACTAAGTGACAAAAAACCGAACTCAAAAAGGAAAAGATCAATGCAAAAAAAATATCCGTGAAAATCTGAGAAAAATTAAAGAAAGGAAAATGACTGGGTCATTACAACCTTCCTACCTTAAAGGGATTTCGTCCCCGAAATCCAGCCGCAAGAAAATAAAAGGCGAAACCAGGATAACTATGGAGTACATCTCTGAGTATCACTCACAACATGCTACAAAAGCAATCACAGAACTGAAAGATAAGGAACAACCCAATGTCATTCGCACCCACGTGCTCACGACAAGACAACCTCTAAAAAGGAAAGTGACCACACGGTTAAACAACAAGTCAGAATTCACACACAGAATCCAAAGTCAAACAAGGAAACAAAAGACAACAATTGAAAGCATCCCTCCTAACGAACCATCATACGGATCCAAAAACAACCACCAAAAGAACTCCAAGATAATCACATATCAAATCAAGGTACTGAACAAAGACAACATAGCAG